TTTTTTGCTAAAAAAGCTTTTCTTAAGTGTCACTTTGGTGCTTTTTTTTGTTTGTTTTCTTCAAACAAGCAGGAACCAGTGTTTGTGTGCCTGGGAAGGAAGGAAGCAGCCGACCCACATTCTGAAGCCGGGGTTCATCCTCACAGATGGCCAAGGCTGCCAAAAGGATGTGGCATAGCACCAGCTTTCGCTCTTAAAAACAGAGGTAAGCAGCCTGTGAGTTCGCACGCGTAACTCTGACCTTGCAGCATGGCTTGTGTGTCATCTGCAGGCTTGTTTTTAAGCAAGCGGAAAGCTTACTTAGACGTTGCTTTTGAACCAAGGATGCACGTGTTCAAGGACCTAGAAAGGCCGGCTACACCAATGCTGGACTCGCTTTCGCTTTTACATGCCCATACTGGAATATCCAACCCTGCCCATAGTTCATTCCCAACCTTAGAGATTACTTGGGTCAGAGTGGGGAAAAAGAAAGCGTCCAAATATTTCAAACCCTGTACAAATGCTCATTTGTGTTTTGGGAGCAGTAGCACTTGTTTAAAATCCCCACAGTAGTGCTGTGAGTCAGGGCTTCACTCAGAGCCATTTGCATTTTTTCTTCTCATCAAATAAGGCTTTTACTTGCTGGAGCTGCTTCTCGACTTCCTCAAACCCCCGTTCGCGCTCAAGTTTGCTGGCAATCTGTTAACAATTAGAAAGAAAGAATATTTTTTTGGTGCCTTTTTTTTTTTTTTTTTGCTACTTGCTCCTTTTTCTGCATTCAAACAAACACTGGCAGAAAAACCCATCCAAATGCATGCCTATGTGTAAATATTTTTTTTTCTGACTTTAACTATTTTTACAGTTTTCCTTGCAAGTGACTTCTTTGATTACAGGACTTGCAACACTTCTAAAAATACGCGTATATGTGTATACAGAGGAAAGACAAAGCCACGTTAAAGAAACAAGCAGGCTCCGCACATACTGATCTGTCGGAGCGTGAGGCAGGGCCAGCCCTGCAGCAGCTCCCTGCGCCGCGGGGCTCTCAGGAGGGTGCCCTGGGCCAGCCCCGCGCTGCCGGGGGGCCAGGAAGGCTCCGGCTCTTGGCCTGGGGAGGCCGGAGCTTTGCAGCTGCCTCACTCTGCCAGGGGCACCGAATGACCGGGAGAGGAGGATCCTACTGTGCAGAGCGGAGGGGAGCGCTGGGATTTTCTTTCCAATGCGCTTAGGGGGCCTGTGACTAAGTGCTCCTGGGGGAGAAAGGGCTGCTTTTGATAGCCAGGGCAGGGGCTGGGGCTGCAGCTGCTTCTTGTCAAGACCAGGGGGCAGAGGAGAAGAGGGCAGGGACAGGCAGGCAGCAGGGCCCCGGCTGCGGTGCCCAGGGTCTCGTGCTGATGTGAGGGAGACCCCCCGGCTGCAGCCTGACCCCACGTCTCAGCGCTGGGAGCGCAGGCAGCGCTGGGCAAACACTGAAACGGGAAGTCTGGGCCACACGGGACCTTCCTCAGTGCCCAGGGGTATTTTATTTGATGTGTCTGCAGCAGACGGGGGCAGGAGCCAGGGCTCACGGCAAGCCTGCGTCCCGGGAGGCCCCAGGAGCCCCTTGCAGGCCACGCTGCGCAGGAGCAGGGCCGCTTACCTCCTCGTAGTACTTCCCTATGTACTTGTAGATCTCCATCAAGGCCACTTCCTCATTAAATTCATTTTCATGTTTCTAAAACAGAAAAGAGTTCTGGTCAGATAGTTCTTCTTTTCTAAAAAAGAAGCGAGAGGAAAGAAATTGAAGTTCTCACTTCTCAGCCATACCTTTGATTCCTGAGTTAAAAATTCTTCGACTTCTGAAGGGGTCAGTGGAGGCAGGTCCCTGATGGCTTTGTAATAAGCTTTCACCTCCTTCTTGTACAGAGGAATGTCCTTGGCGTAGAGAAGCTTATTTGTTGGTGCTTCCTTAAAAGAAAAGTTTGAGGTCTTGTCAATTTTAACTGCATAGATTTCCTGAGGCTCTACCTAGCCATAGTTAATAGTTATCTAATTGCATCTGTTTTCTTGTGTGATTTATTTCTCTTTGCAGTGGTTACGTGCAAGGACTCAAGGTTATGAAATACAGATGAAGAGGAGACCAAGGACTCTGGTAATGGTGCTTTGTTAGGGCTCAGGACAGTTGCCCTATAATTATTTCTGTCGGCATCAGCAGCATTAGACATTTGTCCCTCAGACATGTTTTTCTTGGCTGCCTCCCCTCGCATCCTCCTGGTCGCCTGTGGAAACGGGACCCACGGGCTCGATGCTGATACCCGCTTTCCCCAGAGGACAGAGCGGCGCCGCGCGAGGCCGCAAGGTGCTGGGCCGGCTCCGGAGCTCCTGTGCGGGGAGAGGCTTCCATGCGGGGCCCAGATAGCCCAGTCCTTCCCCAAAGGGCCAAGGAGCTCTTGTGTCAGCAGTACTTCCCTGTCGCTACGCGCTGCCTCCTCAGCCTGCACCTCCAGAATCTTAACAGGCCCTGCTCGTTTTCCATCGAGTCAGTGATGTGATTAGTTTTAATTCACGACACTCCACTCCGAAAATAAGGTAAATAAGCACATCACCTTAAAGGGATGAGCAGCTGCTACAGATCACATAGGAAACTAATCCAGCTTTATGTAATACTTTTTGGGGGGATTAAAAAATCTCTAGGTGCGGGGGCTTTGCCTGAGCATAAAACTTCCTGGTTTGGTCTAAAGAAAAGATCCTCAGGAAAAATAATTAAAAAAAAAAGTTATTTCTGATCCTGGTAGTTCTGGGCACTGTGCTAAAAAGCTTCTGAATGCAAGTTTCATGGACTTTTTGGTTTTTTTCCAGCAATGAGTAGTTCCGGGTATAAAAAGACAGCAACCAATACACTGTGAAAAAGAGCTGTTCCAAACTTCAGAGTTTGGAAAATGGCCTAATGAAGCCAGTGATAGCTTCACCTCTAACTTTAGCAGAGCCAGGATTTCATCCCTTAAATCATTATACACTTAGGCACATTTTGAGAAACTAGCAAAAGACATGAAGGGCAGCATTACCTTCCCCAGTGTCTGCTCTGCTAGAGAAAAGGCATCCATGAAAGCTTGTGCGATCACAGACAAACAGCCATCTATATGGGAAGTCTTCTTAATATCAAAGACAAACTGAGGATTCTTCAGTATATTCACCCAGAAGCGAAGAGGAAGACTAGTCAGAGAAAGGACAAACAAATTTAAGCACTTGGGTCACACAACTGCTATGAAAATGATAGTTTAAAGGCAGTGCATTTGTGAGAAGAGGCACAACTCCCTGCTGCTTATTCATGTAAGAAAGGGCATTAGGAAACACACACCAAGGAGCAAACACATCGGTCAGGTCAGCTCTCCCGCTTCAAATGGCACTCAGTTCTGCTCTCACCCTGCGCCCGCTTCTTGCTGAGTGTGAAGTCAGCGGGCACACTCTAAAGTCCTGTAAGCTACAGTGGTTTCTATCTGTAGCTAATCTATGTGTTAAAATTACTGGGACCCACAAAGCCAAACCATAGAAGTTAGTGGGCAAACCTCATTGGTTCTTCATGAGCTGCAGTACCGTGGTGGCCTTCGCTTTAGCACGATCACACTTTGCCACAGCAGACTTTGGAACAGTGTATACGACACCAGGCAGCAGCTGTCAGCATTTTCACCTGGACATGCCCAGGTCCTACTCTTCTCATGGCATGTGGTGTGTGCTGCCCTTGCAGCTCTGCTCTCAGAGGAGCGTGCGTGCTCACGTGCACATGAGCACCCATGGCCATACCTGTTAGTTTTCCATATATGAACCACATCAGGGTCTGTAATTTTTTTGCTCTCAGCCTGGGCATCCAGAAAGTCAAAAAAGTACTTGATGGCAACCGGAGCTTTATTGTTAGGTAAACTCCAAATGCTTCTGAAGAGCTTTTCAACAACGGAGTGAATGGCGACCTAGAAAGGAAGCAAATGAGAAGTGCTGTTATTGCACGTGGAAAAGAACAAGCTTGTCTCAGAAAGCTGAATGTGCCCCAGGGAACCACACGCAGAAACTACAATGCACTTGTGGTAAACATTTAGGGCACAGGTTATTAACAAATAAGACAGCCAAAGAAAAAACCCCACCCCAAGCTGCAAAATGCACCATAACGAGCTGCTTTCACGTCTCTCTAACTATTGCTTGGCTGACAGAATTGTGGTAAACTTCATGATAAACCATAGGTGGAGGGACTCGTTCGCAAGGTTTCTTGAACAAGGAAACGAACAGCAGCTCTTTGGATAGTTTGCATCATTTTTTTTAAAGGCATTTGGAGCCTCATTGCTGGAAGTAAGAGTGCGGTAGGGAGAAGGAGTTGAAGCAGGTTTCTAGGGGGCCGGTGTTCATCGCACCATGGAAGGTCTGTGGCACAATGCCCTTCTGATGAGCACTTCACTGATCTAACTCATAATGGAGACAGCCAAGGATCTACCCCTAAGCTAATGGCACTGGTGACATACAGAGATGCCTGTATTAGAGAAAGGACCTGAACCCTGAACATTTGCAACCCAGAAGCAAAACTGCTAAACAAGAGCTTGGTGGCTGCTGCACCTACTGACATCTTCACAAAATAATGAGAGGCAAACAAAGCAAAACACTGTTTGTTTTGCCTTTTTTTTAAAAAAAAATTTTCCCCCCTTTATGTGTGTTCTGAAGCCAAACTCATCCAACCTTCCTCATAAGAAGAGGGATGTAAGTGTATCCCAGCCCCTGATGGATTAGTGGCCTCCTCATTTCCTGTACCAGACTCTGAACTCGGGCTGTGGCAGTGTGTAGAAGAGAGGAGCGCCTAGATCCGTGCAGTTTGCTTCAGCATGTGGCACATTACACACAGAATTTTACTGCTGTGAAGAGCACTGTCTTACTTTGAAGAAAGAGGTGATTAATTAAAGGCATTTAAAGACCCTTTCTCAAGAGGCTGCTCTTTTCTTTTGTACATCAGGACCGTAAGATATTAGTAGTTTACCCCAGCAATTCCTGAGGGATTATGCTAGTTTCCGTGCCTCTTGAGAAATGAGCAGTCTTGTCTTGCACTTTAGGTAGCATCCCAAATTACTCTTGATGCTATCAACAATGTAATTAATTAATTATTGATAGGTTCTTAAATGAAAGAGGGCCATAATGAGCATCCCTTCAGGCCCCTTGTATCGCATAGCTCTGTGCTGTGCACTGATTAATGTTTTAAATAACATGCCATTGCAAAGAGTTTCATATCCTCTTTGAATATGTCAGAAACAAGATAGTATTAATAGGCATATGAGCAGGATGTATTCCTAAGAAATGTGCATTGTGTAATTAGATAATTTTATTATAAATTGACCTGTTTTTTTCAAACTCATCCAGTGACTTTGGACATTCAACCTGAGACCCTATAAAAATATTTCATTTCAGTCAGATGGTGGCCAGTATCTTCTCGAAGTCCTGCCAATGCCTCTAGGCTGGTCAACTGAGGAAACTGTTCCCTGGAGGCTCTCTTAAAAAAGGACAATTTTTGCTCAGTTGAACTCAGTGACAAAACTCACTTCCTATAGCCTTCAATAGCTATGTCTTTTTAGACGAAAGGGAATGTTGTGAATGAGGAGATTGAGAGTACGCATAATGAAGACTGCATAATTTTGTCTTTAATTTTTACTTCTACTGCACCAAATGAGCCAAACCTGCCACCAGTCCTCTCCTAAAACGAGTCCTTAGCATTTACCTTGGTTGACAGCAGCTTTGTCAAATACATTTCTTTCACTTTGAATTTTTGCTTTCCTTTTTGACCTGCTCCTTTCACATCTTTGTTTGCTTCAGAGTCTGGTAAGATCTGTTATGAAGAGATCAGATTGGTTACACAGATATGAGCATTTAGTCTTAAATCCACCACTTGCCAGTGCATTTACTGAACTCACCAAGTGACAGTGGTTGTCAGAGTAGTCCACATCTACATAACAGAGAGCAGAAAGGGAACAGGCATTAATAAAGGCAGAGTTAGGAGCTTGTGCATGAGGGGCTCTGGGCTGTGCATGAGGGGATGTGTGAGGGTGCAGAGCGCTCAGCCTTGGTGTCACAGTTTCCTGTCTATAGCGTGGGGGAAGTCTTGGAGAAAAGGACAGGTCCTGGCTCGTGTCCCCAGGGCCAGACCCTAGCTACAACCAGGAAACTAGACTGCTGTCATCTGCTGCTGGTTAAGCCCCAGCAAAGGGGAGCTCCTCTGAAAGCAGGATACTAGGCAGAGGAGATGTGATTGCCCCAGTTTAGCTGCTGTGACCATGCTCAGGGGGTGAGCAAAGCTGTCCCTGTGACCCACGTCTCGGCCTGGCAGTCACCCGTCACATCTCAGCCCTTCACGTCCCCAGCCCGTTCCTCACGGCAGGCTAAACGGGCTGCAGTTCCTCCGTACCTGATCGGGTACTTGTTTTCTTTTTGAAGACTTTTATAGTTGCTCCGTTCGGGATCTGAAAGCAAAAAGAAACACGTCTCGCTGGAGGAGCCGCGGGGCGCAGCCGGCCCCCGTTTCCCTTCCTCTGCGCCCGCTCGGGCCCAGCCGCCCGCGGCCCCCGTGCCGCCTCCCCGGGCCCTGCGGCAGCTCCTGCCGGCCTCACCTGTGCCCACGGGAAGGCAGTTCCCGGGAATCCGGCCTTTTAATCCGGCCGTTCCCTTCCCTTGACTTTTCAGGTTCAGCCCCACTCCGGGAGTTTCAATTTCATGTCCTGCCTTGTGGCTCTTTTTGCATTCATTTTCTACTCGTTTCCCAGGCTCCAATTCTTTCTGTAGCTCCGATTCAGCGGGGTCTTATGGGAAGGAGGTGCAGAGAGGGGAACACCAGGATTTCTATTCCAGCCCCTTCCCAGCTCCATCCTCTCTGGTGAGCAAGGGGAGGTGGCCCAGAGGATGCTTATGGAGGCACCATGCTGAGACTGCTCGTACAGCCCAGCCTGGTGCTCCAAAAAGCTATGCTCAAGCTTCAGACCGCAGAGTGACTGAAGTATTTGTGTCCTGGGGACAACAAGGTCAGGATCACTATCTAGGCACCTCGGGATTTCTGCAGAAATCTTGCCCGTCTGCTGTCCCTGTATTTATAGTGCTGCTAGGATGGTAATTACTGTCTTCGAGAGAAGTGGGCAAGCCACGCTCCTGTTGTCGAAGAGCAGCTCCAGACCGTCTCCCACAGAGAGCTGCATCACTGCTCTGCTGTCAAGTGCTGGGTTTTGCCAAGTGCTAGTATACTTCCCTCTATAAATACAAAAACAACTGGCCAGTGCGAGGCAGGGAGCTCCGCCAAAATAATTTAAACGTTTTTTAAACCCTGGCAGCCAGCCCAGTGTGAGAAACCAGTTTAAACATTAAGATACTCTATCAAAAGCTGTGTTGGGTGCCAAAGAAATCTGCACTTACACTTGCTCCTGGAAAGCCTATTTTATAAGCCTTATTTTTCCCAGTGTCTCCGTGTATCGTGCAGCATTTCGCAGACGTTGCGGATGAGCAGCACCGAGTGGCTCGAGACGGCTCTGGCCGCAGGGCGAGCGCCCGGCCCGAGCCACTGGGCCCTCAAAGGGAGGGAAAGGGGAGCCACGTGCCCTTCCCCAAGTGCACGGAGATGCTTCCCCTGCCCTCCCTCGCTGAGCAGCAGGAGAGCAGCATCGTGCTGGGAGGGGGCAGCTCCTCTCCTGGGGAAAAGGGCAGCGCACGGAGACCTGGCGAAAGGGGCAGCACACAGATATCGCTGCTTCCTGCTGGGAACCACAGACACCCGGCTGCAGGTCCCCGGAGCATCATCTTTAAAGTCAGTGTAGAAATTAGGTCTGCTTTTTCAAGGGATTAATTCTGGGACATTTACAATGCAACCTCACCACACCTGAGTATCTTTAAAAGACTTGATGGAACTTCCCAATTGAAAAAAAAAAAAAGAATCTAGTTGCTTTCTAGTGTTTAAAGCTGGCAAACAAAAGGAAAAATTCAGCCTTGCCACAACTCCCTAGGCACCACTGAAATGTACGCTGGCAATCCCCAGGTACTGCTATTACCCTCACACTGCACACGCAGCATTTCCTTTTCTTGGCTTTCTTGCTAATGGGACATCTTCACGTTCCTTTCAGCATTGCTGTGCATACCAAAAATAAATAAATAAATAAAGACACGCAAATGGCTGATTTGCCCATTTGCCCCGATGCCACCAAACTTCTGCCTAGAACATACGGTACTTGGTCATGCTCAGAAGAACTGAACTAAAATATGTAGCAGAGGCACCCAGCACAATTTCCATAAGGCAGCCACTAAGCTATAATTAGTATAGTTACAGCTTTGCAAAAACAACTGAACCTCCAGTGTAAGTTGTATCTGCCTCTAGAAACCACAGGGGGAAACAGGGACTAGGTCAAAGATGCCCAGGGCTGGCAGTGACCAGCTGGACAACATGAATTCGTCACAAAGTCTGAGCTCTTGCTCAGGAATTGTGAGTAGCTGCTGTGGACAACCAGCAAGCACCGGCAATAGTTGCCCCCAGAAAAGAAGGTTGTATTGCCTTGCCAGATACCCAGTGAGTCCTAAATCTGCCTGGGCCTCCACTGTGTAGACACTGATTGCAACACTACGATGTCCTGACTCATGCAAACCCTTTACTGAGCAGAGGCGAGTCCCACGCTCATCTAGACATGACAGTCAAGAGAGGCACAGGAAAAGCTGTGTTTAAAGTACCAGGCTGTGACTGAGCACACTTGGGTTCATCGCTGCCTCCTGCGACATAAAGGGAGCAACAAACCCCTACAGAAATCTGTGAACTGACTCCGCACGAGTTTGTTCCACACTCGAGCACCGTAGTGCTTCACCCAAGCTACAAACAGTCCTGCTAGGACTCTCTGTCCCCATCTGTACTGACTCCTGGGGACTCCACTTTGTTCAGGGTTGGCTCAGCTTTCTCAGCATCATGCTGCATTGCACAACACTGGCCTGCATCTCCCAGCAAAACATTGAGATAAGTAAAATTACACCACTGTGTTAAGAGCCAGATTTTCAAAATCAACAACTAAGCAAGAAAGAAGCTCACTAAAAGCACCTAAGCTCACTAACCTCACTTTCCAAATCTGGCTGTAAGCATCCAAACGTGAGCCACCACATCACCTGAGGCCAGTCACCCGCTGTACATCTGACTTGTCTCTCTCCCTCTATTTTGCCCTACGTCCTGTATCCAAACTCCCTGGAGAGGGAGTGCCACTCACCAGGCTTTTGCAAAAAGTGCTAAGCCCCAACGGGCTCTGCCATTAGCTGTGGACCCCGTGTTGCTGCATTGATGGACAGATTTGGAAAGTGAGGAACTGACAAAAGTTGATTTATAGGCACAGTTGGAAATGGAGAGGAAAGAAATATGGCATAAGTAGTCACTCTGGGTGGAAGCAGAAGTAGAGAGAACAGAGGAAGTAGGTAGATGCACAAGACCTCAAAAGAAACGACAGAAGGATCTCAGCAGTTATTTCTACTCTGTCTCTCACTAAGCTTTCACATGTATCCCTGCTACCTGTTCAACTAATCAAAATATGAAAGAGACCAAACAATAGTTCACGGTGCAGCAAAAAGTCAGCAGCAGAGATTAGAATACACTCAGGGTAATGTTCAGAGGTAGAAATCAGATGCCCTTTTAACTGAATTTCCCGGCTGAAAGGGGAAGAGTTTATCTGATACACCTACACCAAGCACCCTCCGCAACAAGCAAACCTCTTTGAAAAGTAACAGAAAACATGTGACTCATAAGCAAGGAAGTCATATTACACGCTTCTTTCTTTCTGTTGATGGTGCTCAGTTGTCTTTTCGAGATTTTGATCAGCCGAAGTATTTCTGTGCAGGCAGTAATCAGGAGCTGGGGAGAAACCACTTCTCATTTCGCTGGTATGGTCTGCATCCTTACCTCGTAATGACCGATGGTGTTCAGCCTCCTTATCCCATCCTCCATCATCTCTGAGGAACTGTCAATATCCAGCAGTTCTCTTTGCTGCTCCTCAGACACCAGTTCTGCAGAAGGACAGCAATAAAACGCAATTACATCCCAATTGCCTTCTGTCTGTACAGATTTTTATTAAAAAAAAAAACACAATTATTTTTAGACTTAATATATCACAACTGAGCTCTGTTTCTCCCTGATTGCTTCAGTTACTGCAGATTGTTGCTTTACTTTGTGTTGGTCACCGTTTTCAGAGGTGCCTTCATCTCATGTTGCTCAGGAATATCCTGCCCAGAGCTCAGAGGCCACTTGTAAAGACCAGTGTCTTTACACGCATTAGTACATACCTGGTCATAGATATGCAGCTCTCCTCCTGGCCTCCTCTTTCCTGAGAGTCCCTGGGAGGGGGCTGCCTTATGTAGGTGCTAGTCCTGTCCCACCACAGTCTTTCCTAAAGGTCCTGAGCCCCATGTGTGATAGCAACCAGCAGCAGGAAGGAGTGGTCACTACAACTTTTCCAAGCATCCACAGAGCACCTAGGGTGCTCTCAGAGGGTGCCACGTACAGGACAGAAAATCTGTTCTGATCCCGTTGCTCTGTAGTCACTGTCTTTCCTGGTGGAGATTTGTTATCTGGTAGAGGTTATAAATGCACAATATGGCTCAACTCCTGACTGGGGAGAAGCTCTGGTAACCTGTCCTCCCTTGCTTCTGAATTAAATCAGGTACAGCCTGGATACTAGAGTGAGTTTCCTTTTTATACTGGTGTGCAGTCTGTGTTATCAGTTCAGATCAGGAGTAAATGGTCTGAGGTCATATCTATCTGCTGTGTGCTCTCCATAACCTAGTCCTCATCCTCTTGGCTTCCTTGCAGCACTGCTTCACTCTCCTTTTTTTAAAAACCCCACCAATCTAATCCTCTCTACCTAATAAAGCCAACAGCCAGGTTTTAGGGAACATGAGGACAAAACTTTGAGGGTCAGATTTACTATAATACCAGCAAATTTTGTGCCCAAGTGTGCTCCACTGTTTTGGCCATGTTGAGACTAGAAGAAAGGTGCGTATGTAACATTGGTGTTCGTTAGTTGCATGCTAAAATCCTTGCAGATGTGAAACAGATGTAATTCTAATGTTCTAAGTAGCACCACAAACGATCTAGCATTTCCACAGAAAATCATTACAAAAGATACATTCTGCCTAAAAGCTTAAAAAACAAATAAATAAAGCCAGAGGTAGAATTCCTCCAAGGACAACTCTACGGAAAAAAGGCTGAACTTGATAAAAGTCTAACACAGTGAGACCCCCTTACCAAGACCAATTTCATGCAGCTGGAGACCATAGAGAAAGCCGTTCTTGTTAAGGAAGGCCTGAAGGCTCTTCTCCTTGGCTTGCCCTATGGTGTCGCAGTCCAGAACGTTAACCTGGATGGTCTGACAGGCATCTCCACTTTCATTTTCTGGGATTTTTTCAAAGATGATGTTCACTGTCTGCAGAAAGAAACACACATTAGTGTGACTTACAAGGACCACCTGGCATGGCAGACTCCTGCTGGCAATCCCAGCAGTGCATAAGGTTCGACACACTCCACTGGGTCTTCAGAATATTCATTACTAAGGCCACCTCAAATAAAGGTTATTTCACCGAAATTACACAATGAAGCACTTAGAGTTCCTTGTGTCCGAAAAATCAAACATAAACAACTGCATGTTTCCAAAACTGCATTTTGTATTCTGCTTTTCTGCAAGTCTATTTCAGTAAGTTACCACAAAAGATGGGAGGCCAGGAAAAATTATTATGTATGCTCTAAAAAAAAACCCCAAGTATTTTATTTGAAATGAATGCCTTTAGAAGCAAAACTGTAAGTGACTAAAGATCTGATAAGGTTGCTACGTTAGTAAGTCATCATGGTAAGCATGGCTGATTTTAGTAGATTTGAAGCAATGGTAAAATGCACACATACACCAGAAAATTATGCCGTGTGCTTTATATCATGCAAAATAATATATACCTCCCCTGCAGTTATATCAGTTTCTGTCTGCACACAGCCACGTCTCTGGAGGCAGCAGAGATCAGACCTCCTGCAGAAGCAGTGGAAGGGGAACTACGTTAGAGCAAACACACTCCAAAGTGGTGCAGCTTGCTCAGAAAAGCGTCCGTGTCTTCTGCTGGCCACCACTGCGGGTCAAGCACCGCACGTGTAACAGCCTGTCCAGCTGCACCGTTCCTCGCAGCTGCTCCGTGCTGGGCAGCTCCCCTGCTGCACCACACACAGTGCGAGCCTGGGCGGCGGGAACATCAACCCGAGCCGGGAACATCTCTGGGGAACCCTCCGGTCTGGCCAGGCCCATCGACTGCTGTCAGTAGCGATGGAAGGAAGGATGAGCCCAGGATAGCTAAGGCAAGGTGATAAGGGCAAAGATCTGCGATGCCACAGCCTGCTTCTTGCAGAGACAACATCGCTGTTCAGCTACACGAACACGGAGCTCGCTCAGGACAGGATTAAAACCGATGCTACCTACACCTGCCTGCAAGTGAGATAGGGAGGTGTGTGAACTTTGAATCCTCCTGGCTGTTGGACCCCTCAGGTCTAACAAAGATATTCTGATAGAAAAGTGAGGACTGTGGTTGTGACTCAGTAAAGGTGTGACTGTTAGAAGAGGAAGCAACCCAAAATGTCTATTATTTTTCAGGCTGTCATGTGAGGGAGAGAACTTGTGCCGGGTTGCTGCAGGAGCCTGCTGTCCCTTTTGAGAGAAAATAAGTTATTAATAGGCGTAGAGTACTATTTTGTTCTTTACTGCCCAGCTGGAGTGGAAACTACCACACACTGCCGGTGAAAAACAGTGGTCTAGAGAGGCATGCACAAACTTAACTGTTTCTGCAGAAGCAGAGGAGTATTAAAAACAAGGTGGCAAAACTATGAACAGCAGGACTTAGTGAACACTTGGCCCTAATCATCATAATCAAGAACAACTTAATCAGGACACAGACATGTTTAACTGTGAGCAAAATGAGTCTACCAAAAGGACAGACCCAAGAGAAGAGAGGAGATGCAGGACCAGTGCCTGCAGAAGGAGACGCAGGCTGGATGCCATGCTTGGGGTTGGGATTTCATGTGGAAAATTCTTGAAAAATCTCTTGGCACAGCAGTGAGGGAGATGTGCTTGGCCAGGCCTGCAGCCCAACTCAACAGACAACCGTCCTGCCCTTGACTTCGACTGCCCCGAGGGCAGGCTGGGTCTTGTGCGGCAGTAATGAAAACTCTCCACTAGCCTTGAATGCAACTCTTTGCCTCTTTCAGTCCGACAGCCAATCTTCCAGGGGTAGTTCTTCCCTTTTTAGCTGGTTTCAGTTTGTCTTTACCCACTTTGGGTAAAGGTTGGGCTACACATTTGACTGTAGCTGATCCTTCTTGTCCTCGTCACTTACATGTGGGAGTCCTCCCATCTCTACTCAGCTCACTGTTGGGTGACAGGACTGCAAAAAGAGAGTACTAGTCTCTTATGTAGGTGGCATTCGAGTCATTTGTGTCCTCCTTCATCAAAAGCATTCACAACGTGAGGATAATAGCACTCTACCACTCAAAGGAGTGGTCAGATGGGAAGAAATATTCATACAAATATTGATAAAAAGTCTCGACACCAAGACAGGTAGGTAGTTTTTCTGAGACAATTTCTTGCAGAAATTAATCTTAAGTGATGAAACGATTGATGGGGAGCTGGAAAAGCCAATTATTATTTTGTCTTCTCTCTGCAGCTGAAGTTTTCATAGATCAGATTCTACCTGCCTGACAGCACAATGCCCAGCTTCCGAAACCATTAATCACCAGGCAGCTGTCACAAGCACTGCATTTAGACACTAAGTGTAGAACTGGAAAAAGAATCAGAAGCGACTGTAAAATAATGAAAGCCCTTTTACGGTTAACCCTGAAGGTCAGCAAACATTAGAAAAATCACAGAAGGACACAGAAGTCCTGAAGAAACATTGTAAGGCAGTTTTCTAAGCTAACTTCGCGAATGAATCTCAAAAGAAATACAAGTTAATTTATGGAAAGGCTCAGGAGGAAATTACAGGGCATTCGAGGCAACCTAGTAATATGCAGAGTCAAGATTTCATGCACTGGAAATTAGTGGTTGGCAACAGAAAGTCACAGTGCTTTTCATCAGAGGCTTAACACAGGTTGCAAGAATTGTTAGGGGCTATTTAAGGAGAACAAGGCAAACATCTGGAACTACTACTCTGGGGACTAGTTTGGAACCTAGCTAAAATACCAGGGGAAAAAAAAAAATCTTCACTCATACAGTGTCCGCAATAATGACAGTTGAAGACAATGTTTACCAATGGTCTTTCAAATTTGGCGTTTTTCTGAAAATGAATTGCCAACAACAAACTATCTAAGAAAATAAAGCCATTAATAACTGTAACAGATAATGAATGAGATGTGGTTTGTTAAAGAAAGGCTATGGCGCTTTTTTTTTGACTTAGCTGTAAAGAAAAATAATTTGGAAAATACAAAGGCTCTTTTCAGCTATGCATCTGAGCAAAGTATATTTTCACTTATCTGACAAACCAAGAAAATGAGGGAAACTTTTGTTCAATAAAGAACCATGCAAAGGAGACAGCCCTGTAACAAAAAATACAATGAAATAGCCTTGAACCTACCCGTATCTCTAAGACTGCAAAACAGACCAAACAATAAAAGTCAGGTTCATCATATGATCCTTCTATAGCAACCAGAACAGCTACCCAACAAGGCGTTACAGAACAACCAACAAATTGCCAGAGGAAATGTTATGGGAGTTAAATTAAGGCTCGACAGGTACTAAACCAGGTCAGGGTTGCACTGCTGACGCGACAGGCTGGTCCTTGGTCTGTATCTAATTCACAGTTCTCTCCTGTCATCAGCATTTGCACTGCTTGCTTCCTAGCAAGGGTCGCCGGGTCCTTTTCTGCTGATGAAGCCTCCCTGTGTGTCACATGCCTTTAATAGTCTCTTAGGCCACACAAAGTGTGACCAGCACTGCCCTGCCACGGCCTCCTATTGGGAAACTGGGTTCCCTTTCTCTGCTCGACTCCCTTACAGTCATCCCACTTCTCTTAACGCCCTTCCTTTAACCAGTGAAGCAGTTGAGCACTTTAAGCAATCTTCTACCATGCAGCCTTGCTTCACTTTCTATAGAGGCCAGTGGCTGAAAGGCTACACTAGATCATTTCTTCCCATCCGAAAATGCAAGCTGGTTTCAGCAATGAGAATTCAACAGCCCCAAACGCTTTCTAAAAAGTAAGTAATAACTAATTAAGGGAAACGTGTAGCTCTCAAAATGTCCTAGCCCCATATCTTCTCTTGGAAGAAGTCCTCCCGTGTTCTTCCGCAGCAGAGGCTCTGCCAAGAATATCTGCCAGGTCAGGCTCACATTGTGCAGGTTTTCTATTTAATTGAGACATGTGGGTGAAATACTAACACTCGGCCGCGCGCGGGGCTTTTCATCAGCCGCTGAGCAAATGATTCAGCGCGGGGCGCAGCTGCTTGCGGCCTGCCTGCGAGGAGGCCGGCTGGCGTCCTCGGCCTGCGAAAGGCTCCGTGACACATCCAAGCCTCTTTCAAGGCAGTTTTATTTCTCAGTAATCAGATATCAGCCCAGCGTGAAACCACACAGCTCCTCAGCTCTTACTGGACCGATGCTTTTAGAAGCATCTCGCTTTCAACCGCTCTGCTTGAATGTTTACTTCAGAAGCCCACCTCTATTCAGGCCTTTGCAGGCAGCAGTTGACCCTTTCCAGAAGAGAGTGGCAACTGCAGGGGGCTGGCTGGGCCCAAGGTCCGTGGCCTTTTCAGAAGAGGCCGGCAGCTGGGTCAAGGGGCCGCTCTAACATAATGCAAACCCAACACATTCCTTAGCTCTGTTTTCTTGTTACAAATGGCCTGAATTTTAGAAACTCTTGCCTGTCCTTCCTTCTTCATGTCCAGCACTTCTCCCTTCTGCTGCAACAGGTGCCTACCTGCACAGTGGAGGATTTAGGAAAAGACCTGTGGAGCATCCCCTGAGCTTCAGTAGCCTGCCAGTGTCCTGCTTAAGTCATTGGGGATTTGCAGGCAGAATGCCTGTAAATTGCCTTGTCTGGGCCCTACTACTGGTCTCCAAGTTGAACTGCCTGCTAAGTGCTTCTCTGCACCTTCCACTGCCTATACACCTTAAAAATTTGGCACTGAGTGTCTGCACATTTGCCTCAGTATCATCGTACCTTCAGAAAGCAATTCAGTGAGCAAGGGTGCAAAAGCACTTGAAAATTCAGCTTGGAATTTATCTGATGCAGAAAATACTAGTTGCAGTCTTTTAGACAGACATTTACTTCCCAAGAAAGGAGAAAAACATACCCACTACTCTACATGTATAATAACAGGTCTTGCACGTCATTTCAGTGCATGTGAAATTGCATCAGTGAGAAAAGAAAAGCTGCCCCTTCCATTTTAGCACGCGGTTAAGTACTGCTCTTGGAGGGAAGAAGTGCACAGCTGGCCTGCCTCCCCAGCCCCCAAAGCCTCGCTGCTCCACCCAAACCCCTCTCATTGCGCAGCTTTGGTTTCCTACATAAATGCCAGGCCAGATTCCAAACAAAGCCGTTTCCCTCTCCAAACCGACGTCCCCGGCTCCAGCTGGGCATTTCTACTGCAGGGTCCTCTCCGCTTTTCTGACAGGGGAATATCCTGCTCCTTACCTGGGTCTGATAAACTGCTGGACCTCCAAGGGGAAAGCTGCCTTATCAACCTTTTATATTTTTTTAACCTATCTCTTAGTTAAAAATCAGGAATGCAAAGTACAGAGCCAGTGAACAATATTCTAGAAAGGCTATCAGTCCTTTTGCTTCCTCATCCAGTCGCAGACAGCCTTCCCCACAGACACTGAGCCTTTCAGACCACTTTCCCTCTCGTCTCCTCCGTGCAGGCTGCCCACAAGGCCCTATCAATAATTGCCACAAACCCTATCAGGATTTGCAAGCCTTATCAGCAGCGCTGGGAAAGGTATTATGAAGGCAGCGTTCATTAGGTGCAGACTCAGCTTTCCCCTAGGGGTGTGTGTGCTAGAAATAAGAAGAGCCAATCGATACCACAGCACCAGACGTTGCTGTGTAGTCTGCTACTATCAGGCATATTGATCGTGCCTGGAAACTACTGCTCTGCATAACTACTGGGTTTTGTATCCTATGGCTACATGTAGTAGAATATTTAAATTTGCCCTGAATACCAAAAAAAAAAAGAAAAAAAAGTCAGAATGCAGTGCACAAACAAGGAAACCAAAGATACGGTATTTTGCACTAATATTTAGTCACAAACTTCCTTTCGAAACACATTCTGTGGTAATTTAACAGCTCTGTAAGCAGCTGTAACAGGATCTGACCATAAATTTGCCAAGTCAGAAATTTGTCACAGAAAGTCAAGATATTTCACTGAGTTTCCTAAATGGCCCAGCCCTGTCCTCGCTACTTCCAATGGGTTGCTGACCAGCGAAAATTTCCAGGGTCATGTAATCTCCTCCAGTGTGCGGCATCTTAAAGCTTCCTGGCCCTCATGGCAAAAGGCAGAGCTGGAAAAACTCCAGTCCTATTTCAGGTTAAGGGTCTTGGCTCTGGGAAGGGCTGGCCTTTCCTCCAAAGTTTCTGGCCTTGGCAGTGTCCCTACCACAGAGGTGCTGCCCTGGCAGTTTTATTAGCCCAGAAACTCCGAGTCTCACTCTTCAGTCGCTCTTCCTGGGCTCTTATGTCTCTGACAGGAACTTGAGAAAGAAGGAAGCCATAGAAATGACTAGAAATGCAGAACTTCTTTAAGTTCCCAGATTCAATATCATTTGGAAATTCTGGAAGCAAAGTGCTTTAGTTATTGTAAAAAGCCTTTTCAGACCTTTTCCTCAAAAAAATCAAATGTTTCAAAAGCTCCAAAATTCAATAATCCTTTCTGTCCCTTCTCCCCTTGGTTTCAGAATGTCAGATACCAGAAGGGAACTGCAGCTTTGAAGAGATCAAGGTGGAAATCTAAGATAGCATCCACTTTGTAGTTACTTTAGGAAAGGTAAGAAATCTGTGGTTACGTTCAGATCTAAGTGTCCCATAGATTTTGTTTTTAACCAAGCAAGTAATTAAACCCCACCACATTGTGACCTTCCTAATTTGGAGCTCACAACATCGAAGCCCACAGCAAATTACTGCTGCCTGAAGATTAGCCACAAGTAAATACAACAGAAAAATAAAACCTCTACATTATGTTCTTTCATTCATTGGAGAAGTGCAACTCAGTTTAAATTCAAAGCATATGTTTACATTTTTGTAGAACACTTCAAAGTAATTAGGATTTTTTTAATACTTTGAGATGTCAGTAAATCTTTGGCTATTAAGGCATGCTGTGAACTGAAGAGCAACCACTATTCGTGAAATGCATATTGGTGAGACACCAGTTAGTTAACTCCATTGCATTTTGAAACTGTGTTCGTGATAACAGTTCTGTTTTGCCTTATCCAGGTGCTTAATCATCACTGTAGTGTCTAAGAGCCTTAATTTAGCTTCCTAGAAAAAGAGAGAACACTGTAGCTGCGCTTGGAGGGAAGGCAAACTAGCAAACATACCACTGTCCTGAATTCAGACACTTGCCACAGCAACCAGTCTTCGTTTAGTGTGTACAGGGCCTTGCAAGTGATTGCATCCACGGGGCCTTTGTTTATCCTCTGATTGAGGGTTGTCACCAGCAGATAGAAAGGTTCGCCAATTGTCTCCTAGGATGTGAAACCAACACAACAACCATGTTTATTTTCACAATCACTAAACAGGCTTGAAGAGCTAGAAGAAAAAAATCCAAATTGATTTATTTCCGAAGTACCAAATTGAATTACTTCCTTCTGACCAACTTTTCTTTATCTTGCCATTTGAAAAGAAAGAGCCCTCTGATGGGGTTGCTTGTTTAACGCTCCCCCCCAGCCTTTTCTTTGGGCACGCGGAGCGCGTGGCAGGCCCACGCGCAGCCCGTGCTCCAGCAGGGAGAGCTGCTCCCCTCCCCGCGGCCGCCGCTTCCTCAGGCCCTGGCAGCAGGGCGCGAGATGTGGAAGAGCTCACACGTGCTCTGCCAAGACCTCTTCACCGCCAGCAAAAAAAGAGAACATCTCCTAACATCTCCTAACATCTACGCTCCCTTTACACTGGCTTTTCCCCTTGTGGTCCCTGAAAAAAATGCCTTGGGAGTGGGGTGGTGGGGCACAAACTGGAGCACCAGTGAGAGAGGAAACCACACTGGGGCTTCCCTCTCCTGCCAAGACCTGAGGCGCCAGCATGGGAGCTGGCAGAGGAAGGATGGATTTATGGAGAACTCATCTCCTCTGGCTCTGCCTTGCTGCTGCCCCCAAACATGTTGCCGTATTCATGGCCGGTGCTAGGATTGGTGTGAGCGAGCCCAGCCGTGCGATACCATCACAGCAGCCAGCAGCAGCGGAAGCCCGACCCAGCACTGAAACCGAGAGCGAAGTGCTACCGAGTGGGCTTAAAATAAATGAGCTGTGGAAATGAAAGAAAATGTTTATTTTCCTTTCCCCTGAGCTCTTTCAATTCTTGAAACCTGCAACATTGTTGGAAGGTTAAGAAATCTGGAAGGAAGTTTAGTCTTCCAAAAGGTGTTATTCCTAAGCTTCAAATAAATAGCTTTCTAATGGCACACGTGGGAAGGTACAGGCTGTTTTTTAACAAATGTGTCAGTCTTTTAAAGGGATCAGAATGCAATTCAAACAGTATACGAAACTGTATCTCACATGAGAGAAGGACATGTGAGATACAGGGCAAAATTACTCCAAACTCAGCCAAATACTTAACATGATCACCACTCACGTATCTGCTCTTTTCCTACATCCACTTGATGCTAGATTGAAGGCACTGAAACAGATACCTCTAGCAATCCCTCTGGAAGAAATCAGTTTAAAATATTCTCCATTTGTGTATCATAACAAAGTGAAAAGCTGTACACATACCCGGAGAAAGCCAGAGAGGCAGACAGACATCCAATTTGTCAGCAACTTTTCTACCACGGATTCGGTTCGTCTGAGCAGGAGCTTTGGTTGGACATTGCTTGACTGTTCCATCAAGTCCTTCGTCAATACTTCCAGAATATGGGTTAGATAAACTAGTTTAGTTTGTAGTGCAATAGTCAAGAAAGATGCAAACAAGCACCTGTTTAAAACAAAAAGAAAAAAAAAAAAAGGAGAGGGAAAATGCTAACATGTTTGTGATTATTTTTCCAACCATCTGTAACAACAGAAACACATTTTAGTACCATTCCTACCCTGAGTTTTTTTCCCTCGGGGACTCAAACTGCCCACTAATGTAAAAATATAAAAATAAATCAGGTCCATCTGTCCCTATGGTTATTTTTTTAAAACACAAAATTTGTGCCTATAAATTTAATTCTGCAAAAGAACACCTGTTTCTGTGACAGGACATTTCTAAACTGTAAAACTGTTGATGTAACTGCAAGAACTGCTTATAGTTTTGAAGTGAATCTTCCTCTGCCTCTACATTCACACATACAAACATTCTGATTTCCCTTTAATGGCTTGTTTAATGGCAATGTCCTTTCTTCCTCAACATGTGCAGATGGAGAAAATGGAAACATACTCCGGAACAATGCAACCTTGTTTTGCGAGGAAGTGGAAGTTACATTTGGGTGTTACAATCAATTTTGGCTTTTTTTTTTTTTCTGGCAATTCTTTCTTTTGAGGATGATAAGCATAATCATACTATACCTGTCTTTCACAGAGAAATTTTTCTGCTTTTCAAGGGTGTGAATGAGAGCAACAAGAAAGTTCTTGTTACAAATTAAAGCATGCAACATGTTGAATCTTTCATCCTTGCGCGTTTGGTCTCTGCTCTGGAATAGTTAAACAAAAATAAGCAAACTGTAGTTTGGCTATGATGGCTTCTTAATGCTCAGAAAAAAAAATGATAAGCACGTAGCAGGTAAAATCCTGGCCTCAATCAAGTCAGTGGGAGTTTTGTATTTATTTAATGGGTCCCAGGATTTTACCTAAGATGTATTTGTGTTGTACAACACATACGACTACACATATGCAGAGCACATATTTTCTTTAAGTACACCAAGTAATGCCAATAGTTAAGTTTGCTTGTCATTTCTCATTAATAGATTCTGTTTAACTTATTTGAGTAAATTGTAATATACATTAGATAACATAATCTTGTATTTCAAATGCTCCTTTATGCATAAATCCATGTAACTCTCCCCACAGGGGAAGGGAACATACGCAATTTGAGAGGAGCAGGAAAACAGAGGTAAGGGATGCTAGCGCACATGGGAAGCACGTTGATGAAGACATATCACACTAGAGTGACTTACCTGTGGCATGTCTTCAGTGAAGATGGATGCAAAGCCTCCTGACTAAAATGCAAGACAGGTGATATTTCATTCTGATGCATACCAAAAGCTTCTAACACATGCACATTAACCATGCTAAGCATGTCCCTAATGGCATAAAATTAGAGCTAAAGCAATGGAAGCTCTGGGTCTAAGTGTGGCCACAGCATTTACATTCTACACCATGACCAAAGGTGCTGTCATGTTCACTCACACACACGCACACATACACACATGGTCGCTCTTAAATACAAATTGTGAAACAACCTGAGTAAAGGCAAAGGTTAAAAATAATTACAAGCAGGCAGCAAGCATGGCAGTATTACACCAAATAATGTGGGAAATGGAAAGAAGGCAGAAATAATAAGCCAATTTTATCAAGTAAAGCAAAGCAGCAGACTGAACATAAAGAATAATTTATTAAAGCTGTAACGGCCATTTAGTTTAATATCAACAAGCATTAAGCACAAAGCAAAAACTATAAAGCCAGATTCAATACAGAAAATGGGAGCAGCAGGAAGCTAGAAGGTAGAAATGAAGATGGCATCTGTCAATTAATTTTAGGTATCTGAGGTGTCCCTCTTTCAGCAGCTCATCCCATCCTGAGACAGATGTCTCAGGCAAGTGGGATGAATCACTTTCTCGAGCTGCCTGTCTCCATGCACTGACTACAGAAAAAGCCTCAGTAGAAAACCTCTGATGTTCCTGTTTAGAAAAGCTGAAATTAGATGAGATGAACCTCACTGAACTCACTGGGAGGAAGAACGAGTACGACACGATCAAAATCATTTAAACGCATGGGGTTAGCAAAGGAAGCGCCGGTTTGTCACTTTGGCCATCCTGACACCGGTGTCGCTTCCTACTCCCCTTCCTTCGCTTCTGCTCACGCACAGGGCTTGCTCCGTGCAGCCCTTCGCGCCTGCCGCACCTATAAAGCACAGGGCGCATCTGGACACAAAAGATAACTCCTGGCCGGGAGAAACCAGTGCCCAGTATGTTAAATACTGACACTACCAGTCAGGTCTGCAGAGAGCTAACAGTGGTGAGCTCACCTCTGTGGCACCTGCATTTCAAGCAGGGGCACAGCCTAATTGGAAACAACTTCAGGATGCAAGCTGGCATGGAAACTTGCCAAGGTGAAAAACTGAGCCCTTTCCCTGCTGACCTCACATAATGGAACACTGATGCATCTTGTGCCTTTTTTCATTCCTTTTTATTTGCATAAAGCATTTCCACCCAGGCGGCTTCTACAGGGTGTTACAGCTTGGGCAGGGGAGTTATCAGGAGGAAAAGATCTACTCCTAAAAATAAACCACTATTTTAATGCTAATATGCCTGGCAACAAAACAAACTGAAAGGAAATAAATGCAGAAATTAAGGTTTCATCACTCTATTTTCTTCAAACCTCCTAATTACCGCATCCAAATTAGACTGGGGACATCACAGCTGTATCAAGAGCAATATTCCCAACACCCTCTTGTGTGAGAAGTGGACTCCAAGTATATTAAGATTATGCATATGTAACTGTTAAGTGTGCATCTGCTTTAGCAGCTGATGGTACCCGGCATGGTATAGGCAAGGAGGCCGATCCTGCATCCAGCACACGGGTTTGGCTGCGCTCCGCTGGGTCCACGCGTGGCGTTAAGAAGTCAAGGCTGCAGGCTGCAGGCAGCGG